AAACTTATGAATCTCTTAACACTGCCTAATAATATACAAGTGCATTATACACAGACACACACACACACATATACACACGTCATTTTTATTGTTTATATTGCATGTCCCACTTTAATAAATATATCTTATTTACTGAGTTTGATTCGTCAAACTCACATGTTGATATTTTTTTATAATAAGTTTCACTCAATCATTCGTAGGGTCGTTTCCATCGGAGCAGACTTTTAAGCATTAGATTTACTTTTAGCATTTTTAGTTTTGGATTAGTTATTGAATTTTTCCTTTTGGGTATACGCAGTTGTTTCCTTATTGTTGTTTAAGTTTTATTATTATTATTATTATTATTTTGTTTCTTTGAGTTGTATCAGTTAAATGACTGTTATTTACGAAATTAAATAATTTTTTTTACTATTTATATACAATATATTCCTTTGAGAAAATAAAAAAGTGTTACCATTCTTTATTATAACTCACATTATCGGGGTGTACTACCTTTCTCACCCGGGATGTAACATGACATTAAATCTAAATTATCACTAAAAAACTAAAATATATTATTGAATTCATAAGTTTATCACACCAAAATGTCTCAAATAAAAATATCAAACTTTAGACATTGGGTATATAAATAGATATGAATAATGTGATGCATCTCTAAGTTTTTCTAATAAGAAATTCTAGTAATTTTATTATAGTTTTTCGAAATGTAAAAACAACTTTATATTCTTCATTAAAAAAAAAATATGCTTATTATTTATTTTTTAAAAATATATCTCAATTTACAAAATATCCTTATATATTGTATTTATACTATAAATGCAGAATGTAATCCTAACATTCCATATTTTGTTATCTTATTATTTTCAAAACCATTTCATTGTAGACTTTTTCACTATGAAGACTAGGATGAATGTGATGGCGAAGTTCAATTGATAAAATCAATTTGAAATTAACTTCAACAAGCTTGGTAACACTTCTAAATTTCTTGTAATGTAAGGCACATGATCCAAATAAATTATGTCTTTTTTTATGAAATTCTAATGCAGAGCAAGATTAAACATCGAAATAGTTGTTTTGAACTTATAAAAAAGTATATTTGATGATGTTTATACCCTATTCAAATCATACATGAACTTTGAATATGGTTCTGCTCGGGCTCGGTATGTGGACCTCATAAGAATTATTATACATTTTTTTGTCTTTTTATATTCTAATACAACATTAGAAATAAAAATATAATATTGAAATATGAAAATACTACCTAATAATTCTAATTACAAAATAATGATATCGAGGCTCAAGGTTTATGTCGCAATCGAGCTTGAAATTCATGAGTTAAGTCTCATGTACTAATAAGTGTTGGTTGCTTGACATTAGAGTATTATTTATTATAGTTTATATTTCAGCCTAATATGAAGGAAGTATGATTAGTAATATTTACTTAAAATACACATCTAAGTAAACTATGAGTATATATATGAGATATCAAATGAAGTAAATAGAGTGATTTTTTGTTATCCTTATGAGTGAAGCAAGCGAGTGATCATTCAAATACAAATAAAAAGCCTTCAATGTCGAAAATTTATAGTATAATATAGGAGCAATAAATATGGAGTAAGAGACCATAGTGTTACTTGTAGTTCCAAGTGCCCAACACTTTCATAATAATTTTTAATTAATTCATTTTATTATTTTAAAAATAATATATGATTGCTCTATAATCTGAGTAATTTCATTTATTGGTTATATAATGATGTAATATTAATCATTGTGATATGTTTTAATTGTTGACTTGAGCTCTACTATATTCTTAATGTTCATTTTCATTTTATTGTATTTATTTAATAATATAATATGGCATAGTTAGTATCATAGCTTTATATTATGTTATAATTGTTAGATTACATCATATTGCAACAATTTTATAATATATTATGTGACAACTAATGTGATTGCACTCAATTGTATCAATTTTATAATTTATTACTATGTATCTATTAAAACACTTTGTTGTATCTATCATAAATAAATATTAATCAAAATATATTAAAAAATGATGCAAACCATATTTAAATTATATTTAAATAGAGTTTGAATAAGGTTTGAACCTTGGTTGAGGGAGATTTAAGCTTGGTTTGCATCCTATTCAAACCTTATTTGAACCATAATTGGACCTTATTTAAATTGTGTTTAAAATATATTTAAACAAAGTTTGAATACGGCACCAACATAGTTTAAATAAGTTTTATCCATATTCAAACTAATGTAATTCATAATTAAATTTAAATAAATGATATGTGATCATAAATGGCATATTTCAATAATAAAATAAGGTTTCAAGTATATTTTTTTACAAAAATAAATAAAAGGCATTTTTCTCAATTTATGTCTATTTTAAAGCTTGTAAATTTAAACTCAATTTTTAAATTATAAGTTTGATACTAATAATAATAAACAAATATTTAATAATTAAAAGAAATAGTTTATAATGCTCAAAATATGTTTTCTTTAAAAAAACTAATATTAGCTTTGTAACTATTTTAATAAATATTTATAATTGTCATAAAGTAAAAGACATCCTAAAACTTCAAACTAAAAATTATTATTTTTTAATTTAAGCTCAATTTAATTTTAAGGGATTTGCATACATATCATCAAATTCATATATATTTATATATTTAATAAAAAAACTTATTCAATTAAATTATATATATATATATATATATAATCTATAGATTTTGAAAGCCATGTAGATAGAATCGATAAACATTTTAATCCATCAATATTCAATTAGTTATTAGCCTTTCAGTAATATTAATTTTTAGATTTTTTTTTTTGAGAAATTCGTTATATAGTATTAATTATTTAGCAACATAATTAGAGTTTTAAGTGATAAAGTGAAAAAATCTAAATCATATTTAAGCGGGGGAAATCTTTCATATAACACATATTTACTAGATGGTGCATGAGAAAAACTTTTATATCATACCAAGTTTCATATAATATTTTTTCAATATAAACAATGAGCCACCTCTCATCTCTCCATGATTTCTCAACTAGTTATATCATTATTATTATTATTTACAACTCTATTGAGGAATCATAATGCTCTCCTTTAATACAATTTTATTAAATAAAGTCAATAAGTTTTATAGGTGGTAGACATTATTATATGAAGATAATTTACATATATTATTATTAAGGGGAATGTTGAAGCGAGGATGAGTTTAGTTTTATTAACATGTTTGCAGGATCAATTGAATACTTTATTACTTTAAGGTTTAGAATTTTCATTGAAAGTGAAAGAAAGATTGGGGAGACGATTGATGAGGAAACTAAAGACAATTTGTATGGTGAGTTTGATTTATTTAAAATGAGCAAATAAATAACTGTCCTTAAATTTTTAGATGTGTTTATTTTAGTCTCAATATTTTTTTCTTCAATAGATCAATTTATTCTCTGAACTTGTCGTTTGATGCAAAAAAAAAAATGACTTTTTGACAGAAACATCATCATGGGATCCATCACCGATGGACATGCATGATAAATAAAATAAAATACATAAGAAAACTTGTTGTAATCGATAATTTCCTTTGTAATATGTGAGCATTCTTAAAATTGTTTTCATTAATATGTCCATAAAAATTTTAATATGTTTTCTCCTTTAGACTTATGATAACAAACCTTCTAAGATGGTATATTCAAATCATTGATTATAGACATTGCCTTAAATTGCCTTTTGAGCATGATTACAAAGTCACATTTTGATAAGAGAATTGTAGGCTTGATACACCATTCTTAAAATGAAAAAGAGCAAAGTTATGAAGTGACATTTCAGCTATAGGATTATATTATTTAATGTGTTAACATTTTAATATAAATTTGACTAAGGAATAAAATATCATTTTTAAAATTTGTAAGTATGCCTTAATTTTTCATATTAAGGATATTCTGAGCTTTCAAACCATGAGAGAATTTTAGTACTTAGATTGCCATCAATAATTCTCAACTTCAAATTATACCAATTCATCTCTATATGAAAGACCATCCTGCCCATCTGATGTCATTTCCATGACATATGTACATTGATTTCATCTTTCACGTAAACCCATATTTATCTCTAGAAAAAAAAAAAAAACATATCTAGCTATTATTTGTACTTCTTATGCTTATCATGCCTTCTTCAAGTCTTGGACTAAATTTTATAATGCCATGGATAGATTTAGATCAAACAATATGACTACTTATGATATCATTATTCCATTCCAACATATAGTGCTTCCACATACTCTTAAAGTCTTGTTTACTTAAACGCAGCACCTTGAGGTGCATGTTAACATGAAAATTGTGAAGTGACATCCTTCTACGAAATATTTATTTCAAATTTTATTTTTTTAATGGCTCATGTTGATAATAATGGGATATCTTTTGGTGCGATTAACAGGTAATTGATATGTTATGATATAACTCGAAGTTGTTGAGTGAAGGCTAAGATTTTTAGAGAGAATTGGAAAAAGGAATTTCAAATTTAGTTTAGTTCCGAGTATATTTAAATATCTTATTTATATAAGCTTAATTCATAAAAAAACATGCTCATCTTTTATATGCGCACTTTTTCTATGAACATATGAACCGACTTAAATATTGAATAAGTGCTGAAATAAAGCAAACAAACTTTTATCCGAACCTGAGCGGTACCAAAAACAGGCATTCAATGTAATTACTCCTTGTCACAAAACCAAAAACAAAACCACACAGAATCCAAAAAAATCAAACAGAAAACAAGCAAAGACAAAGCCCTCACGTATTTGAGTGCAGAGAAGCAGAAATGGTTGCTATTGTTCTTAAAAATATTGTATAAGATTACAGGGAAGTCATAACAGAAGGCAAACAAACAGTTTAAAAGTTTTCATGACAGTTTCAGCGAAGCAATAGAACCGGATTTTTGGTTATTTCAAAATTATGCGGCTTAAAATGCCGAAAATAATGAAAACAATAGAGAAGATGATTATAATATTTTTACCCAAGATAATGAATCATAACAGAAAGGATCAGTGACTATCAACTTGCCAAAACCAGCCTCAGCTACAGGCCGGAATATTATTGAATTTAGCTTAAGAAGTAAGAATGAATGCCATCAATTCCATCCTAAATCCCAATACTTTTCTCAATCTTCTGAATTTGGCTTAAGAAGATCCACGTCATCTGCAGCCAGAAGAGTTTACACAAGGAATGATAACTGGACAACAATACTTATACACCCATTTTGCACATATATAGAAGATAATAAAGTCCTTTATTAGGGTATTGGAACACGTGTTTATTTTTCATTTTTTTCTTCTTTATTCGAACAAATTGTTGGCCATGTTTTAACATTTGTCTGATGCATGTCATATGTGATGTGTGTCAGATGCTACATACCTCTGTTAACTAGAAAGTTTTAAGTGTCTGATGCATTTATGTGCGTGTCCAGTGTTTGGTGTGTCAGATACTACATACACCTATTAACTAGAAATTTTAAGTGCAATACAAAATAATGTAAATGAATTTTTGCTTATTTAGTTTTGACCATAAGGTCATCAACATAGCATTTAGTTTGGTAATAAATAAGATATTAAAATCCCTTGGTCATGCTTTGAGATTTTTGCTACCAATTAATGAGCAGTGATGATAATTCCAATGATACAAGATGCAACTTATAACTTTTTTCGGTAAACCATAGCGCAAAATTTCTTCAAAATTAGCAAATGATAGGGTAGAGGAAGGAAATCTTACCATGACATGTGGTGCAATCCTCACACAATAAACAGGGAATCCAGTGTAAAGTTTGAAAGGACCCCCAGTCTTTAGGGTTTTCAGGGCACAGTCCAATGATCCAGTATATGGAAATTTTCCGTTGGCATCAGGCTGCATCTTCTGAATCTGAGTCTTCACATAGTCGAATGGTAAACTGCAAGCTGAGGCAAAAAAGCCCGAAACAGCACTGGCCCCTGCGAGGAGGTTATCAATCTCAAAATCAATTTCTGATTGGCAAAAAAAAGTTCAATGTAATATTAAAGTACCAAATCTCTTAATGCAACAACAATCATGCAACAACAATCATGCAACAAATTGGGGGCTTGCATCGAATTATGTCTATTAAGCACTACCAATTTAGCCAAAAAAGAATAGGGAAATGGCTGGTATAATATCACAATTATTGATCAATATAACTGGAAGAAAAACTGATAACTAAGTCGGATAGATATAAATATGTTGGGTCTTTTATAAAAATAATTATAGCTATAAATAAGAATATAATTTCTAGAGTTGAAGTAAAATGACAAAAATAGAGAAGTTTTTGATGGATAAAAGAATGTCACAGCTTAAACAGTAAATTTTATAAAACTAGAATCTGAGAGTTCAACTGCAAATAAATAAATAATGTACTGACACAATCTTAAACCAAAATCAGCGAGCAAACAACGAGGAATATATAATGGACAGGTGGAAAAACTCATACAAGAGCTGTTCTTACGAAAAACAAAAGAAAACAAGCAAAATACAATGATGATCTACTGTTCGAGAGGTAGACCATCTCTACTACAACCCCATATGTCGCTAGGAACACCACAACAAGAGAAGATAACTGTCAGTCAAAATAAAACATGAATAACAAACCCTAGCCCCCTTTTCCTCCTAAAAGCTCCCCTAATCTTTTCCAAACTTTCCCTCCCAAATTCCCCTTAATTTCCTTCCTTCTATACATGAGCAGTGGTAGTGCAAATCCCGCCTGGGCGCTGAGATCGCCTCCTGCATTCCGATCCTGGGCTGGCTGACTTGGACCGGCCGCCACTAGTTTGGCTTGGGGTGGGCGGGCCGCCACTAGTTTGGCTTGGGTTGGCCGGTCCAAACCGATGCTCTCTAGACCAGTTCCTCTGTACGGGCAGCCTCGCGCGTATACGGGGAGGGCTCGCGAATATCAACACTCCTCTCCCAAAAAAGCACATTTTCCCCAATGTAGAAGGAAGGAAACTGCTTTTGTATTCCTTCGTAAGACTCCCACGTAGCTTCATAGTTTAGCAAATATTCCACCTAATCAGTACCTCCTTTGCACCTACCACCCCTCGACGCGCTCCTTCGACGTCTAAAGGTTCTAGAACCAACTCCATGTCCTTTGTCGGTGTCGGGGGTAGTGAAGAAGAGGATGTGTGATCTCTGATAGCACGCCTCAGCTTAGAAACACGAAACACAAGATGTATTGTTGATGAGGTAGCCTCAAACGATAGGCCTTTGCTCCAATATGTGTCGTAATCTCGTAGGTTCCAAATATTGCAAAGAAAGTTTCACATTCCTCCTTGCCAAAGTCTTATGCGATAGGGTCTCAACTATAAGAAACCATGTCACCAAACTCAAATATGGTATCTGCTTTTATGCCCATCTATCTTCCTCTTCATGAACTGTTGGGCTCTCAGTAGATGCCCTTTGAGCTCTGCCAATGCTCTGTCCCTCTCATCCAAGAACTAGTCAATACTGAATACCAGTGTAGCACTAGGCACGGAATATACCAGGTGAGGTGGATCCCACCCATGCAAAATCTTGAAAGAGGTGATATGTGTTGCGGTGTGGTGTGAATTATTATACCAATATATGCCCACGCAATCCACCTGACCCACAATTTCGACGTATCGAATACAAAGCAACGCAAATATTTCTCCACACTCTTGTTGACCACCTTCGTCAGGTCATCGCTTTAGGGGTGATATGTGGTGCTCCACTTAAGAATCGTTCCCTATAACCTGAACAGCTCCTTCCAGAAGTGGCTGAGGAACACCTTGTCCCTATATGACATAATAGATTCTGCTACTTCGTGCAAGAGAACCACTTCCCGTATGAATATTGTAGCTACCGGACCTCCGTGTAGGTGTGTCGTACCAGGATGAAATGAACATACTTGCTCAAGCGATCCACAACTACCAGAATCACATTAAACCCCTCTGATCAGGGCAACCCCTCTATGAAATTCATGGTCACTTCTTCCCAAAACTTCTCTGGCAAAGCTAGTGGTTGTTGCAACCCTCCTGGCGCCATGGTTTGGCATTTATGTTGCCGGCACACTTCAAAAGAACCACCATCTCTTCAGCATCTCTGTGCATCCCCACCCAGTAAAGCTTTGTCAATAGACAACTGTAGAACTTTTGTACCACAGAATGTCCCCCAATTGCACTGCCGTGAAAATCCTACAATAATCGATAAATGTACTCTGATGTCCTCGGTAATACAAATCGCTCGTGGTAGAGTAGTTGCTCCCCCTTAATTCATATCCGGGGTGATTGTTTGGATCCTGTAGCAACTCTGCCCGCATTTTTGTCAGCCTTCATCTTGCTCTCTCTCTCATCTCATTGCTTCCCATTCGAGGACTAAGGGCAGCGATAAGGCAGCCAGCTAAGGCTCCTTCCCCTTCTTGACATAGCATCTATGGTTTTATTTTCCAACCCCGACTGATACTGAATCTCAAAATCATATCCTAACAAATTGGATAGCCACCTCGGATGCTCCTTAGTCACCATCATCTGCTCCAACATGTACTTCAAGCTCCTCTAATTTGTTTGACAAGAAAGTGTCATCCCAAAAGGTAGGGCTGCACTTCTAAATAGTCAAACAATAGAAATCAACTCCCACTCGTATACCTACGAGCCTAGCCCTAACGGTGAGCACTTGGCTCAAGTAAGAAATCGACTGCTGGTTCTACATGAGTACTGCTCCCAATCCGTACCCTGATGCATCTGTCTCTACCACAAATGGTCTCCTAAAATCTATAAGTGCTAATACTTGTATACTAGTCATGACCCTCTTCAGAAGTTCGAAGGCCTGTATTGCGACTTGCGCTCTTTAAATTGTCTTCATTCAGTTGCTTCGTCAATGGTCATACTATTGTGTTGTACCCATTCACAAATTTTCGATAGTATCAATTAAGACCTAGGAATCCCTTATAACTCCTTCAAGCCCATGGGTAAAGGCCAGTCCATCATAGCCTTAATATTGGATGGGTCTGCTGCTACTTCTGCCTTGGTCACCACGTGCTCAAGGTACTGCACCTGTAGATGTGCAAAAAAATAATTTTTTTTTTAAAATTGATGTGTAACTTGTGCCCTCTCAACTTCTCCAAGATTGTCTTCAAGTGTTCCACATGCTCTGTCTCTGTACGATTGTAGATCAGAGTGTCATCGAAGAAAGCCAGGACAAATTTCAAGAGGCAAGGTTGAAAATCCTATTCACGATGGACTAAAATGTGGATGGAGCGTTGGTGAGGCCAATCGACATCACCAAGAATTTGTAATGTCTTTCATGTGTCTTGAATTTTGTCTTGTGCACATCAGCTGGACTCATCCTGATCCGGAGGTATCCCGATTTAAGATTGATTTTCCAGAAGATGACTGCATCGTACAGCTCATCTAGCAACTCTTCAATCACAGGAATAGAAAACTTATCCAATGCCATCTCCATGTCCAAAACCCAATAGTCCATGCAAAAACCTCGAACTACCATCTTTTTTATTCACAAACAGGACTGGACTAGAAAGAGGGCTCTCACCGAGTCTGATAATCTCAGCCTCAAGAATCTCTCGGATCAACATCTCTATCTCATCCTTTTGAATTTGAGAATGTCAATATGGTATTACACTGATAAGGGAAACTCCCCTCTTTAATGTAATGACACACTCGTGCTCTCTTGGGAGTGGTAACCTGCCTGGCTGCTGAAAGATGTCTGCAAACTGTTGTTGGAGTTGCTGACCCCTTCAAGGAACTCTGCCAACTCACGGTTGAAGGCCTCCTCAATGCTATGCAACACCACCGAGTAGCCCATTCACCATGGTTTTGCACAAGCTAGAATCACCTTCCTGCCCACCATCTGGAACTCCATCGTCAGGGATTTCCAGTCCACCATCATCTCCCCAAGCTTCTGCAGTCACTTCATCCCCAGAATCACATATGCGTTGCCCAAGTTCAAGAGAAGGAAGTGTTCTACCAACTGTAGGCCAAGTAGTGTCAAAATCAATCCTTTGTGAAATCCCCTACTTCTCTCCACCTTCCCTGCCCCATCATGACGCCAAAGTTCCCTGTAGTCACCAACCCTAACTATTCCATGACCTGATTTGAGATAAAATTATGCATGGCCCCACTATCCACCGATACCACAATCGGTTGTTCATCGATCCGCTCACTCACTTTCATGGTGTGATTTGGGGTAAATCTCACCACTAAACAGAGCAATACATTTGCTACATCCAAGTGCAGATGCTCCTCCACCGCGCCTTCCTTCGATTCCTTGCCCTCTATCTCCTCCTGAATTAAAAGGATCTGAAGGGCACACTCCCTGCAACGGTGGCCTGAGGCATACTTCTCATCACAGAGGTAACATAATCCTTTTGATCTTTTTCTTGCACTTCTGCATCGATAAGGCGTCGGAAACTGCCCTCGAGGTGGGCCCCCATATTCTTCTCCTTTGGCGTCTCCTTCTGAAATGACACCGTCTGGGTCCTCAATATCGTGGTTGTCGAGGCACTTTTGTAGAATCCTCTTGTGTTGTTGTATTAGTTGGTCTTCTTCACTTGTTTATTTTCTTCCATTATCTGGGCAAGCTTCATCATTTCCCTCAATCTATGCGGTCTCAGTGGTCGGATGGGACCTTTCAAGAAATTCCCCTCTACTCCTGCTGCAGAAATACCCCTCAACCGCCCTGACAAGGACTTGAACCTCTCACTGTATTCTATAATCATCCCCTTTTGAGTTAGAGCATAGAATTGCTCGTGTATGACTCCTTCCCGAATGACTTGAAAACACTCCAGCAAGCAATCCTTAAACTTCTCCCACGAATGCATTTGATACCTTGCCTCCATCCACTAAAACAACGATAGGGCCTTTCCCTCCAAACATAATCCTGCTGCCCTGAGCTTCTCTTCCTCGGTTAACCCATTGACTGCAAAGTATCGCTCCACCTGATACACCCACCCATGTGCATCTTCCCCTTTGAAGATCGGAATCTTCAATTTTCTAACCCTTGCATCTCCACCCAAACCTTCTCTTCCTCCGGTATTTCTTCCATGTGTCTAGGGCAAAATTCCCTCTAATCATAGCCATACTCCACTCCCGATTCCCTCCTTTCTCCTTTGTATTCTTCCGTGCCCCCCGCACGATCCCTCCAATTTTCGGCGCAAACCCCTCCATCGGAAGTATCCACTCCTCTCGAAGTCCTCGGGGAGCGCTCGTGGTAGCAAATGATGTCCAAATGGTTCTCTCTTTCGATCTCCTTCCCTTTTGATCTAGCTAAGGATTCCCTAATCAACCCTTGGTTAGAGTTTGCAATTTGAGTGGTTGAAATTGCATCTCCATGAGCTTTTTTATCATCTCTCGCATTTCTCATATGCTCTCGAATCCACCCTCCATTTGACTTTCTATGGAAGAAAACCCGTCCTCCATGGTGGCGAACCTTTCTTCAATTCCTGATCTAATTTATCCAACTTTTCTTTCCAGAACATCCACTTTCATTACTGTCATCCCTCCTTGTTCAGATATCAATTTGATACGATCCGGAACCAAAATCATCAAGGAAGCAGTGACAATTGCAATAGATAGGTGGAAAAACTCAAGCGAGGGATGCTCTTATAAAAATCAAAGAAAAACAAGCAAGATACAATGAAGATCTACTGTTTGAGAAGTAGATTTTCACTCCTACAATCTTAGACATCACTAGGAACACCACAAGAAGAGAAGAAAACTATAGCTAAAACAAAACATGAATAACAAACCCTAGCACCCCCTTCATCAAAAATACTCCCCTAGATCCTTTCCAAACTTCTTCCCCTCAAATCCCCCTTAATTTTCTTTCTTCTGTATGTGAGTAGTGGTCACATAATTCCCGCCTGGGTGCTGAAATCACCTCACGTATCCAGATCTTGGACTGGCTGGTCCAAACCGGTCCTCTCTAGGTTGGTTCCTCTGCAGGGGCGGCCTCGTGCGTATACGGGAAGAGATCGCGCATATCATCTACTACCAAATACTTTTCTACTTATTGCATTTTCTATATTTCCCACAATGGTTGAAATAGTGAAAAATCAATTTATTTCACATATAAAAAGGATGGGTTGGTATTCAAACTGCCACCTTTTCTGTACTTATTTGACAACATATTGCCCTCCTTTCACATAAACTCAAACAACTAATAGCCTCTACTCTTTTCTCATAATCCTTTCATATTATTTTAATCTTTCCCAGATAAAACAATATCATTACGTTTCATCTCCATGCATCTAAACTTGCATTCTTTCTCATATGACACAATTCCAGCACTTTCATAATGCTTAGCAACAAACATAATTGGATATTGGTCATTTACTTTCCAATATCAACTTTCATCTACTGCATAAGTCTCCAATCACATCAAAGTTCATCATCCTCTTGCTCTACCCTGTTACCATTTCTCACCCACTTTCTCCCATTGCTTGTTTAGCTTTAATCATACATTTCAAACACAGATCTCTAGAAAGCATCAATTTTTTTAGAACACAGACATATTTCCTGGAATTGATGATATGTTCACATTTTTCCTGGAAATGAACACAGACATATTTTCCTCGAATTGGTGACATTGTTTTTGCTATTAACAGAAAAAAATCACATTAGCTAGATTCCCCAAAATGGAATGTGAATAGTCCCTTAACAGAGCTAATAGATTCCCCCACTTCTCCTTTGTAACTTAAGGTCGTCCACTATCCTTCGTCATAATGGCAAGAGATGATAGAGGTGAGGTTGGGAGATATAACTTTCCATGATTATGTTTATTGATGGCCCCCTCATCAGGCAACAATAAAGGCATCAGAGTCTCAACTACCTTCTTTGATTATGATAACGGACAATTACAATGGTAGGCATTAAAGCATTGACAACTAACTTCCTCGTTGATCATCTCTCTATGAAATATAAGTGGTTATTCAGTAGCGAGAGTGATGGCATGCTGGTTTACTCCATTCATCTTTGATCATAATAGTTGGACGTCAAATGGTGGAGCATCAATAATTATATCTTTCTCAACACAGTACAAAATCTATTGTTACTTTTCCAAGAAGAGCACAGCAATACACCTTGTGTTAAGAGATTAAAACCCAGAGCCTCACTAGTACCTCTTCTCAACATGAGCCTCCCACTTTTCTTTGCAACCTAGTAGTGACAAAAAGCCTATAATGATGATAGGTAGTCACAAGCTTAGAAGGTCAAGCAATGTGGCATTAGTGATCAATTTTCTCTATCATCTTCTCCAATTGACAACGGAACATTGAATTCCTTCTTCGATCAAGGAAATGAAGTGTCATTTTGATTAACCTCCCCAACAATCTTCTCCCCTGATAGGAATGGTGCACTAAAAATCTACAACAATGAAGTGTACTTTTCCTCTATTGGAATTGGTTCATATGTGGCAAGAAGGTCAGTTGGTAGAGATGACTAGATCATCTTTAAAGAGAAGCCCAATAATAGTACTTTTCAGTTAAATAAATACCAACCTACTGCTTTTACTTACTGATCTTCGCCTGCTATGTCTCTCACTATTTATCACTACTAGATCTTAGTGGTGAGGCATCTGGCAGTCGAGCATCCTCATCTATTAGATATTGAATATATTATTAATTTATTTTTTTAATTATAGGGACATTTGCATACCTAGCACACAATTCTAGTATTTACATACCTCCCATATAAACTTTCATATTTACACAAAACAAAGCTCAAATATTTAATATCATATCAAACATATTGCTATTATCATTTTTTAAAAGTGAAAATTTTCATGTGTAGGTTTAAAACACCAAAATGTTATGTATGTAAACATGGGCTTACGTGTGAGATATGTAAATACATAAGAATTGTGTGCTGCACATGTAAATTTCTCTAAATTTTATTAAAAATGATGCACTATTAAGGATGAAACAGCATGAACAGAATAATGGTTTTAAAAGCAACAGGATACAATATGTATTATATGGAATTGCTTTGAATGTTTCATTTGATTTTTTTTATTTGGCCAATATATGGACTAGGTAATTTTTTAATTTGTCTCTTACATATGAATTATGTAATAAAAAATCATAACATGGGCATGCATAATGTGTGCTTTTTACTAGTATTATGTAAATAATGCTAGAAAAGGTATGTAACAAAAATTCGTGCAGCATAAATAAACTTGATGACACAGCTCACCTTAGTCGCCCGAAAAAATACAAAATACCAACAAATAAAGATGTACATATCATATTCCTATATCCTTAAGCCAACAAAACTTCTACAGAAATCAAACGACCAACTGCAAACATGGAACAACTCTGTAATAAGATTTGCAACTTCAAGACTATTATTTTCTGTGAAACTCATCTCTCTCTACTTACTATGAAAACAACTTGATAGCCATGATGTCATGCTGATTTAATGATTACAACCCATGACAACATTAACTTCATGATGGGTTGGATTGCAATAGCACGATGATAATGAAGGATGAAAATTTCTTACCAAGGACTGTGCTAACTTCTCCGAAACCAAGTGAATCCCTGAAAAACTCCACGCTCTGGTCATAAGAGGCGAGCATGCCCATATTCAATGCCATAGCCCTCACTACTGTTGGACCTGCACCTTTCCAGAGTGCCAAAACCCCTTCATCAGCAGTAATCCGATAGAGTGCATGGAGGGCGTTGGTATAATTCCTTCTCTGTGCTGGGGGTAGAGTTGCATCAGCCTGCATGCGGATGAGTGCCAGATCAGCTGGACTACCAACACAGGCACCTATTGCTCCAGCTGTCAAACCAATGGCAGCTTTTTGAAGAAGGGGCAATGGCTTCCCCCCGTTGGCATCAATTGCTTTGTTTGTCAATATCCTAGTCATAAGCAAGAAAACTTCCATAGTTGAAAAGGACATAAAAAGCCTTAAAATTGCTTCTGAGGAAAAGGAGACCTCTATGAACCGATTGTCTATAATAAGCATCCTCAACAGTAGCAAATATTTCTACCATTGGAGAAACAGATGCAGCAACAGGTTACAACAAACCAAGTAACTGCTTTCAAGAAATAGCAACACTTGAGTTAAATGAAATCACACATACCTAAACGATCCAAGACGTGCTGTTGTATAAGTAGCTTGCCTCAGTAACCCTGCTGAAAGACCCTGTCGCATTAAAAAAAGAAGAGCAATAGTGTTAACACTGATAGACACAATTAGCAATTAGTAGAAAGGTTTGGTTTTGCACTACGTGTCTGGTGAAAAAATTAAATTTCTTGTGTGGATTTCGCTTGCATTATAGATTCTCCATGAAATAGGGTAAGGACCGGATAAGCTGAAATGATGCATCAGTATTCATAATTATTTTATCAAATACTTTATGATATGATTTCCTCAAAACTGCTCAAAAAATATGATTACAAAATATCATTTGTAAATTAACAATGCACAGCCATAATTAACTTCCATTAAGTTCCATCAATTAAACAATCTAACTAATCTCAAACACCAACCGGTTTCTACATTCCAACAAGACTAAGGGCCCGTTTGGGGATGCGGCCGGCGTTTTCAAAACGCCGCCTTGCCATTTGTTCCGCACTTATTAAAAGATTATCCTAAACGGCATTTTACAATTTGTGAAAGACGGGAACCGCGGGACAACCCCCGCGGTCCTCGTTTTTGATCGAATAATTTACTCCCGTGACCCTGCCCTCATACGAGCATCCGGTCTTGGCATCCAGTGACCCTGCTCTTATACGCATCTGGCGGAGTCATTTCTCCATCGCATTTCGTCCTCTAAAGATCCGGTGCACTTTCCCTCTTCTTCTTCTGCATCTTCACTCCTTCGCATTTCTCTCAACAGATATAACCATTCCTTCGCATGTCTCGTCTTCCTTCTTCGTCATTTGCATTCGAGAAATGCGGTTGGATGATGATTTTCTTTTCGGTTGTGAAAATCGATGGATCTGAACCCCATAGATGTGAAATTACTAGATCCTACTATTTTGAGCGATAATTGGATGGTATTGATTTTTTTTTTAGGTTGAAGTTGTGGCCATTAGAAATCTTTTGTATTATTCTTTTTTCCTGTGGCTTTCTCTTAGCTTTTTATCTCGGGAAAGCTTTACATACATACCACGCAATTCATATGGGATAGACAATATTGCAAGGGTGCTTGTTATCTATAATATTGCAGGGGTGCTCGTTATTTCTCCCCTCTGTCTAAACACATTATTGCTCATCATGTCTGGCTTGAGAGAAGCTCGTATGAGAGAAACTCGTATATTTAAGGAATGTCATTTTGTCACATGAATAATATTAGATTTGTTATCAAGCATTTGAGTAGGAGATGGAAGTTCAAAAAATCTATAGCTCTTCCCATTGCCAACTACTTATTGTAACATATGGCCTTATTGAATTGTTTACTGGTCTTTTATTTTTTGTTTTTTTTTATTTTGTGTGTTTCTAAAATCTACACCTTACTATGGTTTTACTATCATTTCACCTCTTTATTGAATGCTCACATTGGCTTGGAGAATAGTTATCGCATGTTTTTTTGCTTACTCTGATTGGGCTTTTACTATGCTTATGTAGCATTTTATTTTAATTAGTCGTATATTATCTGGAATCAAAACATTGAGCCATTTCATGAATCCAACCCCCAATAGTTTCTGACGAACATTTTTTACAGTCAATATGTTGTGGAATATTGGAGGAAAAAAGCTAGAAGAGCTTGCAATTTGAAATAAAGAACTTTCTTTTCCCTATGAACGAAGAGCATATTTTATTAATGCTTCTTCAATATTATTTTGTTCACATGTCTACCACATAAATTACTTATCTCCTAGTTTGAGACATTTGTTGTCATGAAAAAAAATATTGTGTTTATCCCTTAATCTGACAGAACTCAATAAGTAAAGCTAAAGAGACTGGATCCTTGGCCATGTGAGATAGAGAGGTCACTATTATATTATGTGGTCTATGTCTAAGGGAGGTCGAGTTGGGAAATAAGCCCACCACGTATTTTAACAAATAAGGGTGACAAAATCTTAAGGTTAAATTCAAAAAAGTGACCGGAAGGGATTATGATCATATGAAATTGAAGAACAAGTGAGATCAATTAAAAAATGATTGAAAAATATAGAAAAAACTGAAAAGGGGATCAACGAGAATAGGTTGGGATCTAGTAAAACGTATAATTGATGCATCAGAGGATTGGTGAGTTGAGAAATTACAAGTATATATATATCTAATATTACTTTAAAGATATTGCATCGAATTGATTTCATTAATAAAACTTTTTAGTCTATTTCATGCAGAGCCGTCAGCCAAAAAATTTAAATTTATTGGCATTAATTTGGAGGAGAAACCGGATGACATGCTCACTGGGGTTGTCGCAACAGGAACTCATGCGTTCACCCCAAATGATGTAGGGTTTAGCAGCTCAGCACAGGACACGAAAACCGTGTAGATAGGTGAGTCAGGAGAAGGTCCCAGCCACGTCCACGCAGATGTTCAATCCACTAGCCAGCCAAAACGCCCAAGGATAGACAAAAAGAATAAAGGTGTCGCATTCATCAAAAACACCATTGACACACTTGTTGAAACTTGCAAAGTAAGGTCTTTTCCCTCGCAAGACAGCTCCATTGAGGAATGTTTCGAAGTCCTCAATACATATCTTGATGTTAAGGCGGACACATACAAATATTTAAAATACGTGAAGGTGTTACGAGACCTAACCATAAGACAATTTTTATGAAGTTAGAACCGCAATTCTGAGTCAAATACTTGAGCTCTTTCATGGATGAATGAATGTTTTAGATATTATGTATTTTATTTCTTGTAGTTTTCTTTCATATTTTTGTGATGTACACTTGTCCTTTTTCCATGGTGGTACTATGTTTTTATTTATCTTGTACTATGCACCAATTTTATTTTCTACGATTGTATCTTCTATGGTTCGCCACAATCTCCATGGTGTAATTTTCCTTTTTTTTCTTGTTCTCTATTGATGAAGTTTATAAATTATCTTTGTACTTATTTTGTAGTATGAATGAAAAAGAAGTTAACCACATCGGTAAAATCGCTTTAATCATTAATTTGTTGTACTATTACTATCTTACATCCATCGACTGAAACCCATGTATGATGTCGAGTCAGATTGGGGATAGATGGGTGAGTGAGTTATTACGTGGTCATCCCACGAGGCAAGAAATAATTATTTAACAAAAGACACTCCTTACGTAGCGTAATCAAAAGAGCTTTCAGAGTGTGGAAAAAAAGGTGAGTTATATTACGTGATACACCGACTTACCCATTTCCGAAGCAAGTACAAATAGTAGTTGACACAATGACACTACACAATTTCATTCGACGACACCACTCCTGATCGATGCAGAGTTCGCCCTCATAGAAGATGATTCACTTCAAATCTCACCTGAAGCATACAAATACCATGTGGGACATACCATGCCACATGAAGAAATTGATTCACAAGATGCATACACTCGAGAGGGTGAAGGTGCATCAGAGATGGCGGATTTACAAGAACAAATAACAGATGATATCGATTAATCGTGAATGAACAATTCATTATTTATGTTTGAAATTTGATGTATTTTTTACTGTTATGTGTTCATTTTTATGTTATTGGGTTTGTGCAATTTTTTATCTTTTTAAGTATGTTAACAATGGGAATTGTTCAGGACTTGGGGAGTTTGAACACCTCAGTGGCTAGATCTTTTATGCTTCAGAAATCTTTGTCACTGTTTAATTTGTTTTTAGGCTAGTATCGATGGTAGCTTTAAATATGAAGAGGCTTGTGGACTTGCATAAAATATTATCTCTTGCAGTTTTTTCTCCATTCACACGAAGATGTTTTTTTTTTTTCTGCTCTTGTCCCTGTTCTGTTGCATTGATTTCTTGGTTGGCTATGTGAGAAATCTTTTGGAGGAGTTTGTACACCTTGACTTTTCATATGAAAATCTCTTCTACTTTGATGGGATAATGAAGAGCAAATCGGTTGTGAAGGTATGGGAGTTATGTTTTTCTGTTCTGCAGAATCTGTATGAGAGTTATATTTTACCTCCTGCAGTTTTTTTCTATATAGGTATGCCTATGTGAGAAAATCTCTTTTATTTTGCATAATCTGTACGGGAGTTATGTTTTTTTGAGAGTTACGTTTTTCTGGGAGTTTCATATGAGTGGTCTCTTTTCTGAATGATTTTCAGTTGAAGTTACTTTACAAAAAAAACTATGGTAATTTGTCTTAATAATAGCAATGCATCTGGAATTTCTCTTCCTCTCCCCCTATCTAGTTCGGGCTCATCTTAAGGCTAAACGAACTACTCGATCATCTCAATTAATCAGCTTGTTTCAATGAATTGATAAATAAGTTGTGGCTCATTTTGATGCTATGGCTTTCATTTCATGGTTTATGGCTATACATATATCGAAAATTCTCATTTGCTGGTATCATTTGCTAAGGCTCTTATTATATTTTGTTTTTTACTTTAATCTCCAAAAGAAATGCAGTTAAAAGGTCTTATTATGGCAGTTTCTTAGATTTATGATATGCCCATAACTTGCACTGGAGTATCATAATTTCTTCCATTTATAACTAATAATATATTAGGACAATTATGTTGATTTGGAAGGTAGTCATCGTGTTCAGCTGATCAATAAAGAGATCTTAGCATGGTTTTCTATGTTGATGACGTGATAGCTTACCATGGTTTTTGAATTCTGAAAATGTGTGGTTGCAGCTTGGATAACCCTCCTTATGGGCAACCGCTGCTTTTATTATCTGTTAAAGTGGTTTGCTGCATTGGTTTGATGCTATAAGAAGTTTTAAAACATTTTGCTTATATGAGATTTTGCTTATATGAGATATGAGGGTATCGTTGGAAACTTTTTTGCTGTCAAAGTGGTTTGTTACATATTCTTGCTTATATGAGCGTAATGTTGGAGACTATTTGCTTATATGAGGATATCGTGGTAGACATTTTGTATAGATATTGATCAGCATTTTGTAGGGGCTGGTTGGTGTGAACTACTATACCTACAAATTCAGCAATGGGCATTTGAATGTAATGCATTTTTAAGTGAAATTTGCTGAGAATGATGGATGTAGCCTGTAAATGCTGCTGTATATGTTCGATTTATAG